ACCGTTTTGATTATTCTGATAGCAAATTCCAGAAGCTCTTGCAATTGATTGATAAAAACATGGACATTCAAGACAGTGTTTGGATGCAGGTATGAAAGCATTGAGGTTGGACGGACAGCCACACCCAGATCCCACCCACTTTCCTGTCTCACTTTGGCTACACACCTGACCAGATCGCTCTTGCCCAGTGCCCTCCTTTGTCCTCAGACAGTCCCCTCTCCTCCCGCGTCCAGCGCCCCCTGCAGAAAAGACACTGAGGGTGCTTGGCTCGAGGTGTACGCATTCTCAGTATACCTCAAAATATGCAGCACTTGCTATACCAAAACCCATGTGTAAATGTGAGCTTTCTACATACAAGAACTGGGGTTCAGTGAGCAGTATCCTGCATTGCCACTCCACTTGGCGCCTCCATCGCTTCAGCAGGACTCCTGCTGTCATGGTCTCCCCAGAGTAGAGGTGTTGACTAGAAGCCCTACATTGACCAGGGGACTGGACCCAATGGCCTCATAGGCTTCTCCATCTCTACCATTCTATGATTCCCTGATTTTATACTCCTCTTCTTCTTTCTGGTATGCATGAGAGATGCCCCTTCTTTCTGTGAGTCTCTTCCTCTTGATAGTACATTGATGGGCAATGGTTTTGAGAAAGTCCGTAGAAATTTGGCATTTTGTCTCTTTCAAGCCATATCATTGTACGTTTTCTTCCCCCAGCTGTACAAAGCCTTTCCAGCCCTTGTGAAATACTTGCCAGGTCCCCATCAGACCCTTCTTAACATTTGGAGAAATCTCAAATCCTTTGTGAGAGAAATAGTTGACAAGCACAAAGAAGATTGGAACCCACATGAAACAAGAGACTTCATTGATGCTTATTTGAACGAAATGGCCAAGGTAATTGATCAGCCGAGAGGAGGAGGGAAATTTGTTGCTTAATTTTTAGGCATTCCACCGTCACTCCACCCTTGCAGGACTAGACTTGGGGGGAAAGAAGGGTGATGTGGAGGGACAGGGCTGGAAGACTCCTTCTTCCCACATGCCAAAATGCCTGAAGGAGCTAGTCATAACTGCACAACTCTTCTGTGAAAGGTAAGAGCATAAACAGTAATAATAATAACAATTTGTAAGAAGATTTCTCTGGGGTCATCACATGCTCTACTGTAATTCCTGACTGTGTGGATCCCATTTTCCTAGCTTTGGAATCCAGTTCAGCAGTTATGGGGGGTCTTTCCATTTCCTTCCTTTGTACTTAATCCCAGCTTCAGAGACTCCAACAAACTTGGCTTGATGGTATGAGGTCCTAAATGGAGATGCTGAGCCATCTGACTGCAAGGGATGATGTTTTCATGAAAGGCTCACATGCTTCTTCGTTCACATTTTCTCAGGAAGACGCTGCTCCCAGTTTCCATGAGGAAAACCTGCTACAATCTGCACTGGATCTTTTTGCTGCCGGAACAGAGACGACTTCCGCAACGGTCCGCTGGGCTCTGCTGTACATGGCCCTTCACCCAGACATCCAAGGTAGCGCTGTGCGTCTGTCTTTGCACAGCTTCCTTGTGAAGCTCACTCCATTGCACCTTGCTTGGTGAAGCAATTCATTGACCCTACATTGGGGGCAAAAGAGTCATTTCAGAACAGTGTGAAAATCTGTTTTGTAAACTCAAGGGCAGAACTTGTGCCAGGAGAACATGTCCTTGTGCCATTGAGCTGCTTCAGGCAGGACACGACCTAAAGTCCTACAAAGGGCATCTTGAGCTCTTTTGTATCCTTAAAACAAGGCAAAATCCAGCCCCAAGGAACCCCCTCTTTGTGCAGGGAAATCAAGAGCAGGAAAAGGACTTCCTGGACAATTAATAGGAAGTACAAAGATGCTTTCATGAATACCTTTTAGCACCTTTTGTCAATTTCTCCTTGTTAAATGTCAAGGAACTTCTGATTGCTCGAACACTACCATTATATTTTGCCATTCTAACAGTCCCTTTGCTGAAGTTCATTTGTGCCTGTCCTTTCATAACTGCTTCACTTTCTGTAGTCCTGAAGTTCTGTTCTCATCATCTGCTGGACTGGAGCAGCTAATCAGAGGATCTTGAGGGGTCTCGACCACCCCTAAAGATGATGTGGAGCTTTTTTCAAAATGTTCTAAGTGTTTGACAGAGACTTAGGCAGAGGTAGCTGTTAAAACGTTTGGTTGGTGGTCCTAGGTGGAGTCACTGAAGCAGTCGGCGTGAGCTTGAGTGGACTCCGGGGATGGGGGAGGACAGGAAGGCCTGGGGGAATGTTGTCCGTGGGGTCACGATGGGTCAGACATGGCTTCGAGACTAGCAACAACAAGCAACCCCTTATGGACCTGCCCCTGCCCCTTTGATCCCAGGAATACTTGGCCTAAGAGAGAGGGCAGCTCATTCTTCTCACGCCATGCACAGTGCTTTGCAAAGCGCTCGCACATGGCCCCTGGTGCCGGCCCGGGTTGCTTAGAGGAGGCTTCCTTGCCTGATGGCCGAGGATTGTTTCCTACCTCCTCAGATGGCAATTGTTTTTTCTGCAGCAAAAGTCCAAGCAGAAATCGATTCCGTGATTGGCCAGTCACGACAGCCGGCAGTGGAGGACCGGGATCGCATGCCCTACACCAACGCAGTCATTCACGAAGTCCAGAGGATCGGCAACATCGTGCCTCTAAATGTGCCCCGGATGGCCACGAGGGACACGACCCTGGCTGGGTTTTTCCTGCCCAAGGTAAGTCTTAAGGGAACAGCTCGAATCCTGGCAACGCATCTTTCCTTGGAACAATGACTTTATGCCAAGCATGTGAATCCCCTGCAGCTGTCCATGGTGGAGGAGATGGACTGCAGTGGCCCCCAAATGTTTGGGGTCATGCTGAAACTGTTGGCTGCGGTGGTGGGGGTTGGTTCACTGTGCCTAAGATGGGTGCCATGGACGGCCTGCCTGGGTTCAGAAGTCCACCTGGTGAGACCAGAAGAAAAGAAACCTTAGAACCAGGGTGTGAGATCCAAAAGACAATACTTCTCTTCTGAATTCAAGACAGAGGAGGCCAGAGAACAGTGCTTTGCATTTTGAATGCTGGCATTTTGTTTCATGGCATCCCCACTGCAGTGGAGCAGCGCAGTTTCCACCTCGCCACCCTCTCGGCCACGAGGGCCCTGGAGACGAGATGGAATGAGCGTGGGCCAGCCCTAGGACCACATTTCCAGACAGTTACTGAATACTGAGGGTTGGGGTGGGACCCTCTCTCTTCTGTGGATCGACTCCAATGAGTTAACTGCAGCTGCTGCTCTTCAAGCAGTTCTTGGCAAGTGTTTTCCCCCAGAAGGGGTGGAATGCACTGGGCATTCCTGGGTCCTTCTAACTGCTCCGTGAACCTCGAAGCCCATTCCATTCCCTGTGAAGTTCTTGAAGCCGGGCAGTTTGGTGGGCATCCAGTCCTAGCTCTGAAGCAGCCCCACATTTTGAAAACATAGTAAGGCATCTAAAAGGGGATCTGAGTCTAGTGCTTCCATCCAAGTATTCCTATGTAAGGAACAGATAATCTCCAGGCCAAAAATTATCTGCATGTCTACAGGTACAGTTGGGTGCCTGGTGCATTCTTGGTCTCCTGATGAATACACTGGCATTTCTGTCCATTTCCTTCTCTATTTTTCTTCAACAGGGAACTGTCATAATGCCCAGCCTGACCTCCGTGCTGCTTTGCAAGGATGAATGGGAAACTCCCAATGTGTTCAATCCTGACCATTTCCTCGAGAACGGGAGCTTCAGGAAAAGGGAAGCGTTCATCCCGTTCTCTGCAGGTGAATGACGCTGCTGGTGGTGGTGGTGATAAGAAGTGATGAAGTGATGTGGATGCCCAAGCAAAAGTAGGGTCCAGAGGAGGGCAACAAGGATGATTTGCAGCCTGGATTCTTCCTAATTTGGAGAAATAACCATTTAATCCCACTCTCTGTGTTCTGTTCTTTAACGAGTTTCTGATCCATAAGAGGATACACGCCCCCTTTTTTTCATTCCATGACTGCTTTGTTTGTTCACCACCTTTGTCAAAATTCTTTCAGAAATCCAAATAAACCGTGTCCACTTTTTTACTGACATTCCAACAGGTTAGTGAGACAGGACTTTCCCTTCAGGAGGCCATGCTGATTTATTTTCCCAGCAGGTCTTGTCCCTCTGTGTGCTTCCTGATCTTTCTTTAACACTTTCAAGCCATTTACCCAGAATATAAATTAAACTAACTTGCCTGTGATCCACTTGGACCCCTTTTTAAACATTGGTGTTACATTGTTTGCTCCAAATCTTACATGATTTTTTTGCCTAAGAGAACTAAGAGTCTTCTGCCTCTATTCAAGGCATCTTTCCCTTGGGGGCTGGCTCTCAAGATGGGTGAGGCATCTTAGGGCTAAGGGACAAAGTCATATTCCCCAGTGCCTAAAGATATGTGACCAACATATCTGGGGACAGGAATCTCTTGGATTCCTTGGGCTTGGTTCCCCAGACTTTTCCACAGCCCTGAGCCCAGCACTCCCAGGGTGCTCAGCAGGATTCGAGCCCCACACTGCACAAGCAGCACCCACCTTCCACACACAGCTTTGCGGCTGCACCTTCCAGAAGGGGAGCTAGGTTGGTCGCCTAGAATGGCACCCGACGTGCCTAGTCATGTTACTCCATTCCATGTCCCATGGGGACTTTTTGGGCAGCTGTGCCTTGTGGGGAGGTTTGCTGGTAGCACAACCCACACTTGGCGGTTTCCTCTTGGCTCGGCTCGCTTTGCAGGACTTGGCCAAGCCGGGGGGAGAAGTCCACTGCTGCTGGGGGGGTGGACTGTGACAAGGTTGTCCCAACTTGAGCCTATCCCCCCCAGACAGAAATTATGTGGTTCTGTCCGGGCACTTGGAGGGCTGCAGGGTTGCTCCTGAGCCTTGTACTCGGCAAGAATAGCCCCCCGTGAGAACATGCTGGCCCAGGGGGCCCTTTGTCCCACATCTTTGGCTATCATCCCTCCCACCACTGGGCTGCCACCCATAGAGCACCCCTGGATTGGAATTTGGCTCTCTGGTGAAACAGAGGTCAAGACCACCATGATAGAGGCCTTGGTGAAGCCAGTTCGTGCTTGTGGCGGTGTGAGTCAAGACATATGTTGGCAAGAGTCCAGGCTGAGGAGCCCTGAGATCCATCACAGGACGTCACAGGGGAGGGATGTGGGAGGGGGGGGAGGGAGGGTCCTTGCCAGTTTCTTCCTTCCCTCCTGCTGCATTTTCTCTCATGCTGCTCCCAAGGACCCCCACAGCAGATGTTCAGGAGACACGCAGGGCTGTTGGGGCCAGAGGCACTGGGGGTGGGAGGGGTGACCTCCTTGCCTCCTCCTTCCAGAGTCATCAGGATCCCAGCCTGCAGTTATCTGGATCCAACCCCATTCACCAGATGTTTTAAGTCTGAATCGCTGTGGAACATGTTGTTCCCTCTCTAAGTCTTTGGGATTTGGGAAATGGAGGAAGAGCATTAAGAGAGGAAGCTGGCACCACAGAAACTTCGATTTATCAGAGTCCTAAAATCCAGGGCCGCATTTGTCCAGTTTCCCCCATGCCTGAATAATAATTGATACAGCAGGTTTATATAACTTGTAGGCACATGGCGGCTGTGAGTGGCCCAGTCTTTTGCTGTGCTGCGTGCAAAGTCCTCTGCAAATTCAGCCACTGTGTCCTCTCTCCTAGGGAAGCGCGTGTGTCTCGGGGAGCAGCTGGCCAGGACGGAGCTTTTCCTTTTCTTCACTGCTCTGATCCAGAAGTTCACTTTCCAGCCTCCAGAGAATGTGACACTATCCTGCAACGCCCGGGCAGGCTTTACACTGGCTCCTCCACCGTACCGGATACACGCGTTCTCTCGCTGATGGAAGCCACGTGATCCTTGGCCAGCTGTCAATTCCCTCCCCTTCTGTTCCTGGGGGCCATGGTGGAAGCTGTGGCAGCCACGGTCCCTTGCTGTGCTTTGCCGGGGTGGGGAATGGTTGTGCATGTTTAATGTCATGGGACTGGGGGTTG